TCTTTCTTCAACAATGAGAACAGGAGAATCACGACATTTAGCTGTGACAGCGGAGGAAAACGAGAACGCGGTGAAGCGTTCGAGCTTTGCCGCTGAACTCCAACGGTCACGAGAATTGCCGCCCACAGTCTCGTTCACTCATTCAACTTTGCAAATGCAATACCTCAGCCCCCGTCATGCGATAATAGGCGTTCGGTCGTCATCGTGCAATTACAAACGATCCAACGGTGCAGTCACGCAGTATTAAATGGCACGCAGTCGGTGCGTCGTGCGCGATTAGTCCGCTGAGCCGAGCGCTCAGTTTACCGCCTGGTCTCGCGATATTTAGACTGGCCGCGCGCATTATCATCGCTAACAGCGCGGGGAAACAGCCTCTAACTACGTGCGGTGTATGGAACATTCGGGTTCTCGGATTTGCCGTCTCTCCTCTCCCCCTCGCCCCTTTCGGGTCTTCGCGTCTTTGCGCGCGCGTAATCCTTCCTTTTCCTCGACTCAACCGCAATCTTTCTCCTTCTTTATCGCCGGCTGACCCCTTATCGGTTCGGCGATAACGATTAGTAACAACGACAAAGTAAGGCTTCCCAGTCGTACGACGGCGTTTCGTGTGCCACGGATCGTTACGTTTCGCTTTCGCGCGTTTCAACGAAGAGAGTGGCGAGTCCCATCCAGTGCTACTACATACTAGAGACAGCCGTGTGCCCAAGCACGTGTCGTCGTCGTCGTCGTCGTCGTCGTCGTCATCGTCATCGTCGGAGATGCTCAAGGACGTCGATTCAGCCGTCGATACCGTGTGACGTGTGTGATTAACGAGGGAACGATTCGCAAAGTAGGAATACTTTCCGGGTCACGGACGACGGTGCTTCGATTCTCTGGCTGTGCGTTGCCCGCTCTCGTGATCTATTCGAGGAACGTTCACCTCGATTCCTCTTGCTCTCGCGCGCGGCCGTGGAAAATTTTCTGCACGATCGTACGTAGAATGGATAGCGACAGATGCTCGTCGACGGGATGAAGAAGTTCCTCGAGCTGTGAGTAGCGAAAAGAGAGAACCGTTCCCCCCTCCCCTGCCCTCCCCCTTTTTGCGTTGGGAACTTTCTCTCATTTACGGGAAAATCGTCGACCTCAACGATGCGAGAAAGAGAAAAGGAAGAAAGAAGAAACTCGGATCGATCGTAGGCGAATCGAAACAATTGACGATCCGTTTTTTTTTTTCTTTATTTTTTTTGTTACGTTCAATTTGCTGCACTTTCTGTTACGAGACGCGCTTCGATAAGAATATCTATGTCCCGTGAAGGAATCGTATCGTATCGTTTTAACGCTTCGATAAACCTTCTCGAAGTTCCTGCCCCTTCTTTTTCTTTTTCTTATTTTTCAATTTCTTTTCTCTTCTCTAACCTCTCTAACCGCCCTCCTCCCCCCTTTTACCAGCCCGGGGCCTATTTGTGTTTGTTTTACATTTTCGTTTGGAATGCATGCTTATGACGAAACTCATTAGGCCTTGCCTGAGGCCAATTTTCAGGAAATGCTTCCACACCGCGTACTACTTCCTCGACTATCCGCCCCGTAACGTGCCGACGCTCCAGGAATGGGAGAACAGCGAGCAGGATGGAGAACGTACGGCGGTCGCCATTCAGAAGTTCGTGCAACACGTCGCGAGCCTGCACGCGGACGGAGACATCGGGTTCAGCAAGGAGTACGAGTTCATTCAGTCGGAGAGCGGCAAGTTCACCGCGGAGAATTCCCAATACGTCGAGAACAAAGCGAAAAACCGATACTTGAATATATTGGCCTGTGAGTAGAGCAGTACAATATGTATGTATGTATGTATGTATGTACGTGTATACTCGATTCTCCTAGCTCGACGAGGAAGGAATCTTTTCTATTTTCATGGAAACACGCGTCGAAAAAAAAACAAAAAAAAACACGCGTGGTGTTTCGACAGGACCGCGCAACTTCTGTTTTTCTTTCTGCGGCCCACCGGCGTCGGCCAAGCTATTTTTAACCAGGTTACTAACCTAAACCTTCCATCCTCGCGTCACGCCGCGGCGATTTCTTCAATTTTATTCCATCAAACAGCGTCGTGGAGCCCCGCGTTATCTCTCGTGCAACAGCGATGCTAGTATGTAGCTTCGTTTAATCGATTAACTCGTAGCATTGGCACGCTTCCGTTTCTTCAAGGTTTCCTCTTGCCTTGCCAGTCTATACGTCTACTCGTACGCACGTTCTTTCGTTTGCTCGTCGCCGTGAGCGTACGTAAGTCGGCGAAGGTTTTTCACGCACCGAGTCGAGACAGGGACGAAAAGCCGCGCGTGCAATGCGACAATTGCAATCGCGCGTATCCGTAATCGTTGCTCGGCCTGGCGTGCAACTGGCCTCCAATAGAGCTGAAATCACGCTCGAGATCGCTTTCTAATTCGAACGATGCGACTTTCGATTGCTGGGAACTCTCGCCTCGTCTAGAGTGCGTCCATGTCTCGTTGTCTCGTCGCCACGCTTCCTCCGTTCAATGATCAAGCTCATCGCCTTTGCCCTTGTCGTTCGATGCAAAACGTTAATTTTGATAATCGATCGCGCTGAAACGAAAAGGCCGTCTATTCAAGCATTTTCGACGGAAACAAGCGTACATACGCCATTTATATCTCGGTACGTTTGTCATATTATCGAAGGGAAATATCAGACGAAGCCAAACAGTGTTCTTCCATCTCGCGATAAGATCTTTCAGTCTATCTGGAAAAATCAGAAATGAAACTCTCTCGCAACTTTACGCCGATAACGTATCTTTAATGTAGCTTTCGCCGTGATAAGCGGAACGTTGGTCGCGAGTTCGACTGGTATCGCGTTGAACGATCGGTCGATCGGGCCGAAATTCGCGATGCTGCGAGCCTCGATCACCGTTCGCGCTGTTGTCCGATCAACGGAGCTGCTCTCATTCGTTTTTAATGTGAGTGACCGGCAGCACTCGACAACCAGGTCACAGATGTTTCGCCGCACTGCTCGTTAATGCCTATCAATAGTGATAGGTGTGAGAGAGAGAGAGAGAGAGAGAGAGAAACGAGCAAAATTAGGAGAAAAAATTTCGTTTGACATTCACAGTTTGAAATGTCCAATTGGTAGCCAAACGTCGTTTAAATGCCTCGGTAATTTATTCGACGGTATAGAAAAATACTGGTTGTTCGCAGACGATCATACTCGAGTGCAGTTGCTGTCGTGCGGCGGAGGACCACCGAAAAAGGGGCACGATTACGTGAACGCGAATTACATCGATGGTTGGCAACGTACACGCGCGTACATTGGTACGCAAGGTCCGTTGCCACCGACTTTCGATGGATTCTGGCGTATGGTGTGGGAACAGAGGGTATCGATCGTTGTTATGATCACCAATCTCGTTGAACGTGGTCGCGTAAGTACATACATTCAATGCATTCGTGCTTTAGACGATTTAAAATCTTTTTTAACCTTGTTTCCCATAACTTTTCTGATTTCTTCGTTCACAGAAAAAATGTGATATGTACTGGCCTAAGAAGGGATCGGAAACCTATGGTTACATTCAAGTCACTCTGCTGAGGGAAGATGTCATGGCTACGTACACTATTCGTACGCTTCAGATTCGCCACATGAAGGTTCGTATATTTATGAGAATTGACCTCGCCGAGACTCGAATGTAAATGGACGTCCACAGGTGAAGAAAAGGAAGAACGGAGTCAACATGGGCGAGCGTATCATTTGGCAGTACCATTACACTGGATGGCCTGATCACGGTGTACCGGAGCACCCGTTGCCGGTTCTGAGCTTCATCCGGAAATCTTCCAATGCCAATCCTCCGGACGCAGGACCAATCGTTGTCCACTGCAGGTAGAAACAACAAGCAAACGCTTTTGAACTGTTGGAAGTACTGCAAAGTATCCAACTAGTTGAGAATCACAAGTTTAATTATAAAATATAAACATAAACTATAAACTATGAAATAATTATAATTTTATGTAAATATAAAATTGTCTTGCCCTCTAGCGCTGGCGTCGGGCGTACAGGCACCTATATTGTCATCGACGCGATGCTGAAACAGGCCAAGTGCAAGAACGAGGTGAACGTATTCGGGTTTTTAAAGCACATTCGCACGCAGCGAAATTTCTTGGTTCAAACGGAGGAACAGTACGTGTTCATCCATCATGCTCTGCAAGAAGCTATCGAGAGCGGCGAGACCAACATCGAGGCAAACAATCTGTTAGAGTATGTCCAAGACATGTTGAATCCGAACAACACCAACACCGATGCATGGAACAACCTCGAAGCTCAGTACAAGGTTTGTTCATTTGCGGAACGGATAATAAACAGCATACTCCAAGTTCTCCCGTTTGTTGACGCGATCTTTAAATTAATTACTTTCAGCTGGTGACCTCGTGGAAACCGAAGGAGTTCAATCTCGTGTCCGCGATCAAACCGTGCAATCTTCACAAGAACCGTAACCAAGATGTGATTTCGATCGAAACAGCTCGCGTTCACTTGACGCCGAAGCCCGGGATCGACGGAAGCGACTACATAAACGCTACGTGGATCGCTGGTAAGCAATCGATTAATCGAATTCCACACGTGACTTTCGAACCCGAAAGCAAACCCGATCGTCCGTTTCCAGGCTTCCATCGCAATCGTGAGTTTATCATCAGCCAGCATCCGATGGAAAATACGATCATGGAGTTCTGGCAGATGATGTGGGATTACAATGCACAAACCGTGGTCATGCTGACCGAATGCGACGAGGTAATAGAATTCCTCCTCATTTATAGTAGAATTCCGTTTTCAATTAAAAGAAACAAAATAATAAATGATGATTAATTCGCAGGAGTATCCCGAATTTTGGCCTACCGAGGGGAAAGATTTAGAGTCGGAGACCTTCCGCGTGCGATCATGCGGAATCAAGGAAACCGCGAGCGGAATGATTCTGCGCGAAGTTGCGGTCCGATCTTTGCAAGACGATTACGAATTGAGTGCCAAAATCGTGCAAGGACCGCGATCTCAGCCTGGCTTCTGGCCACACAACACCAACCCGCGACCCCTCGTGACCTTAATCCACGATTTACATCGGGATTACCAAAACGGCCCTATTGTCGTGATGGACAGGTAATGTTCGACAGTTCAAGTTTTGTCACTTACATGTGTGACACGTATCGCGAGTTGTAACGAACGCAGAAGCAATATCGATCGTCATTGATATGGTAGGTTTGGCGGCGTCGAGGCGGCAATCTTCATCTTGCTGACAACGTTGAACAAGCAGATGGAGTTCGAGAAGAGCGCTGACATTTACATGTACGCGAAGTTGTTGTACATGAAACGACCTGGAGTCTTCCGCACAAAGGTATTCGACTCAACTTTACAGTCAATGAGCAATTTTATGAAATTTCTTTTGGAAACTATCCGCGATGGTGAGATACGTAACTCGGTTACGCTTTGCAGGAGGATTACGCGTTGTTGTATCAATGTCTGGAAACCACGCTGTCGTCGAAAACTCACGACGAGCCGGATCTATACTCGATGGCCAACGGCCACGTGTCTACGATAACGGATCCGACTGACGTGCCTACCTCGTCGATGCAGCACATGCAGATGGATTACTCTCCGAAACCAACGATGATCCGCGAATACGCGACGGTGGAGGTGAACTCCATGTCCGACTATTCTATACCGATTCGTGTGGACCATTCGATGGAGCCGTGCAGTAGCAGAAGCAGCGAGAGCTGCATGTTCAGCCACGCGGGGAACGAACACGAGAAGAACATCGTCATGACCCATCGGAACGTCAGCTATCACAATCATCCGGGCAGTGTCTCTGTGATCGTTGACGCGAACGGTTACGTGACGAACGGCAGCATGCGCATGAGACCAGAGGGCATGGAGTCGACCTGCAAGATGTTGCCTCAATGATGCCTGCCGATCTTCGGTTGCAGTGTTTCCTCGAGCCGATCTGAGCCGCTGTAACCGATCGAGCTCCTCACTGCCCGAAGTGTAATCCTGATTCTGTAAGTGGATACATTTTGTGTTCGACCGATCCGAAAAAAAAGCCTCCTCGAATACGAACGAATACGCCTATGAGACTGAACTGTCTTTCTCTACGTAGATTAAGATCGCGACTGCGTAGCTGCAGCTCGAGGACACGCGTACATCGTTCGATGGCCGAGTACAGATTAAAGTACAGATTCTTTTCTCTGGTTTTACGCACACAGGCCACAGCGCAAGGAGTTCCAGATTGGACACGTCTTCGCACAAACGGAAGAACGGCGATTCGATTAGTTAGGATCCGCCTAGAGAGCATTCTTAAGCATCTCTAAATGTAAATAATTAACCGCGTTAGTTCGCCCGCGTGTACGCGTACGCTCTCGAACGATGAGGCTACACGCGTACACGCGGTGTAGAGAAAACAAAACAAAAGAAAAAAAAAAAAAGAAAAAAAGGAAAAAGAAAAAAAGAAAAACGGAAGAGAGAAAGGAAAATAAGGGTCCCGTTTCCGGTGTTGCTGGGTGCCAAAAACCACTTGTTAGAGCACGCCACCCTGGACCTTCGTTTAAACGTTGTTCATCGTGTAAGTGTACACCTCTCGTTTTTTTTTTTTTTTTTTTGTATATATATATATACATATATTCACGGACGTACATTCGCGCGTATCGTGCACACTTACATAAGTTACATAACACTCACACGCGTGTACATACGCATCTCGCCTACCATCGCACGCGTATACACGCACGTATGTTTTTTACATATGTACGTGTAATACCTTTGTATAAGTTGGATCATTCGACTACTTCTTTTACCAAAGAATCCTTCATATTCGCTCTCGTTTCGTTTTAAGGCCCCCCCTTTTTAAAGTTCTATCGCTCAGCCGAAGACTGATCAATCGAATTCGCACGTGTCGTGCACGCGTTGCGATCTATAGAACAGATCGTGCCTACCTATCGTGTCTTGACTCATAATCAAAAGAAAAAAAAAAACAGCGCGATCAATCGAGTTCGATGCGTCTCGCTTACGAGAGGAGCTTCTTTCAACGCTCTTCCACCCCTCTGTCTCTTTTCGCCGAACAGTCGAACATGCAATGTCACAAGGAATTGACGATCCAAACGTTGTTCGTAAACGCGTCATCGTGCGTCTATCCGACTTTCTCGAGGTTGATGACAGAAAACAATCGCACCGAGATACGAGAACGCGATTGGAATCGTGCAGACTTGACGATCGATCGCGATCGGTGAGAATCGGTAACAAACTGGTGACGAATCGCAACTCGATCTCTGTAAACTAAACACGATGGAACACGGTTGGAGCGCGATAGCAAATGTGAAACTTGTTTTTACAAACTCGTCGTGTCTGCACGTGAGAGAAAAATGAACAAAGAGAGAGAGAGAGAGAGAGAGGGAATGCGAACAAACGTGATCTGTCTATCAACCTTCCGACGTAACTAATCAATGTTGTAACGCATTTCTAACAAGTAAGATTTGAATTAAGTAAAAAAAAAAAAAAA